AAAAAAAAAAAAAATAACTAAACTTGAATCTTGAATTAATTTGAATTGTAGTACATTAAAAATATTTTAATATAAGGCGATTTTTTGTTTTTAAATACCCAATTTTTTTTTAAACACCCATTTTTTTTTTTTTTAAAAAAAAAAATGATAGTATATTTCATATATTCAGTGTATTGATATTTTTCTGGTATATATCGTATTATATTAAGTTGATCTTTTACTAGTAATTATTTATTCATTCATTAGAATTTTTAATCATTAAACATATATTAAGTTACATTCATATCCTGATCAAAAATATATACATATTTATATATATTATATTATAATAATAATAATATTATTATTATTGTATTATAAAAAAAAAATTTTTTTTTTTTCCCTTAATATCCTTCCATTTTAAGTATGTCGGGTATGAATCTTTTTATGTACTTAAAATACTCACAAAGAAATATAAAAGCAAATTCCAGATTGACATAATTTTTCCTTAAACAATATATATATACTTCACTTGGTCCAAGCTTTTTTTCTTTACAATAAACTGATTGGTCGCGTGTTTTCCTTTTTTAATAATTACCTGAAAAAATTGTATATATATATGCACGTTTGTTAAACCAAAAAATTTTTCTTCACATCTAAAAAAAAAAAAAAAAAAAAAAATTAATCATCAAATAATTTTTTTCATCTCTATTTCACTCTTTATTACAATTTTTACCTCTATAAAATATGAATTCCATGAACTTGAATTCATATACGATGCTTTCACCTCAATCTCCACCAATATATTCAATAATCGAACAAGTTTTATCCGAATTAGACCCAACAGCATATTCTAAAATATTACGACAGGTTTCATTGCCGATTGAAAAATTAATCTGCCCTAAAAAAAAGTCTCGCAAAGGAAATATACCAAGACCACAAAATTCCTTTGTAATTTATCGTCGTGATTTTATGGCCAAAGTAAAATTAAATTATGGTCATGAAATCTCTTCTAACCTACCTTTTGTATCAACAAAAGCAGCAAAATGGTGGAGTTCTGAGAACTCTGAGGTAAAAAATACTTATCAAATAATTGCCGATTTGGCAAGAAAAGTTCACATAAGAGTATACCCCAATTACGTATTCAAACCAAAAAAACGCCCCAACAAATATACTATTAAAGATATTTTCTTTGAAGATATTCCTCCTCAACAACAAATGAACCAACCCATTCCATCTCCTCCACTTTCAAATAGTTCAAATAGTAATAGCGATAATAATAATTCTCAACCGTTACCATCCATAAATCAATTATTATCAATTGCTGATGATAATAATAATTATGACAGGCGTATGTGTCGTTCATTCCGTGGTCCATATTAATAATCATCATCTTGCTTAAGGTAAGATAAAAAAAAATACCACCGAATTTTTTATATATTTCATATATTATACAAAGTCTTCAATAAGCAATAAGTTTTTTTTATATATTTTGGCAATTTTATTATTATTTAAGACATTCTTTTTTAAAAAAAAAGTTATTTCAATTATATATATGTATTTCATTTTTTATGCAAAATTATGTACAATTTTTTTTTTTTTTTATCCTTTTCATCGTTCAAATAATACCTTTCGTTCTTTCGATATATTTAACTATCATTTTCGTTTTTTTTTTTTAGTGAAAATCGATCGAAAAAAAAATTATTTTCTCTTTCGTTATATTATTTCGTTATCGAAAAAAAAGATTAGATTATTTTTTATGTTGATACAAGTTATATTATTATTTTTCGAATTTATATTGATTTTTTTTTTATCTATTTTTTTATTATTTTATATTCGTTTATATTTTGTTTTTTTTTATCATTTTTTATTATTGAAACTCAATTTAAACTCAATTTAAACTCAATTTAAATAAAGGGAAAAAAGATTCTTTTTCTTATAAAAATTTAAAATTTTTTTGAAAATTGTAATGAAAAGTATGGATTGTATGAGAAGTATGTTAATACTTTAATACTGTACCTAATTATGTTAATATTGTATCTAAGTACGATAATACTGTACATAAGTATGTCCAAGTATGTTAATACTGTACATAAGTATGTCCAAGTATGTTAATACAGTACTCCTAAGTATGCTAATACTGTACCTAATTATGTTAATATTGTATCTAAGTACGATAATACTGTACATAAGTATGTCCAAGTATGTTAATACAGTACTCCCAAGTATGCTATGCTAATACTGTACTCCTAAGTATGCTATGCTAATACTGTACTCCTAAGCATGTTAATACTGTACCTAAGTATGCCATTATAATTTTTTTGTTTTCATAAATCTGATATGTGCATTTTATTTAGTTTTCTAATTTTTTTTTCCAATTTTACGAAATTTATTATAAATTTATTATGATATATTCTTTTATGTATTTCTTGGTCGCTAAAATTGCGTTACGTGATTGTTTACTCAATTTTTTTTTGGACTATGTTAATACTATATTAAATCTATATCGTATAGCTGATATCGGTTATTATCTAAGCGCGAATATTAAGCGCGGATATTATGTGTGGATATTATTCGCGGATATTAAGCACGCACGGATATTAAACACGGATATTATGGATATTAATATTATGAGTGGATAAAGCGATATTAAGCACGGATATTATGGATATTATGAGTGAATAAAGCACGTACGGATATTAAGCACGGATATTATGGATATTATGAGTGGATATTAAGCACGCACGGATATTATGGATATTATGGATATTATGAGTGGATAAAGACGCACGGATATTATGGATATTATGGATATTATGAGTGGATAAAGACGCACGGATATTAAGCATTAATCACGGATATTAAGCGTAGATATTAAGCATTAGGCACATATTAAGCATGGATATTAAGCGTAGATATTGGCCGCAGATATTAACTCAGATACTAGCGCAGTAATTTTAAAGTTTATTACACGATTTGTTTATTAATTTCGGCCGAAATGTTTTTTTTTTTAAAAAAAATGAATATTATATATTTATCTACAATACGAAAAAATAAATAAATTTTTGTTTCAATGAATAACAATGAACCATCTTTTTTCTTTTTTTCTTTTGTATTTTTTGTATTTTTCACTCCCTTACTCCCTCACCCTTTCACCCCCTCACTTCTTCACTGGTTCACTCCCTCACTTCTATCACCCAACTCTTCACTTCCCAACTTCACATTCCAACTTTATGTCCCAACCCCACTTTCCTATCCCTCCCTATTTTTTTGAGTACCTACCTGTTTCGATCCTGTAAAACCTTATGTATGTAAATTATGTATTGTGAACTTTTGGTATTAAAAATGATCAAAACAAATAAATAAAAAAATTAATATTTATATTTACAATTTTATGATATTCTATCAAAAAAAAATTTTATTGGTGTGAATGAATTATGATCGCCCATTTTCGATATACATGATTATTTATTTGATTGAAAATTTGAAATCAAAAAATCAGGGTACGAAAAGATCGCCGTGTAACACGGAAAATATGTTTTTGAACTAAAAGATCATCCGGCCAACATTTTAATAATTCTGACCAAAAAATGTTTGTAAATCGGGTCAAAGTTGAAAGTACGGGTAAGTACGGTAAGTTAGTTAGATCAAAATTGTAAATAAAATTCAAAGTTGTATTCTTTCGTTAAAATAATTTTAAAATTTGAAAAAATATATCAAATATATCATAAAGGAAAGAAAGAAATATTTATATATATATATATATATATATATGTATCCTAAAAGGAGATCAAATTTGTTTCATTTATTTGTTTAAGTTCAATGACTGTAACTTGTGTTATTTTTTATTTTTTTTTTTTCCTTCAATGAGTTTTCAATTTGTTTCAATCGACAGAAAACTTTTCTAAAAATTTTTTTTTTTTTTTTTTCTGAAATCTTAAAGTAAATCAGAAAAAAAACAACCAAGTTTTAAGACAAAGTATCTGCGATAATTGTGTTTTTAACAAAGACATTCCATGTATGTAGTTATAAAATCTGTGATAAGAAAAATAAAAACAATAAAATAAAAATAAAATAAAATTAATTACGGTAACAATTAATCGCGATAAAACGTAAAAAATTATCTATCAATTAATCCGATAACACACTATCATTTACCTATCATTGTAATCAATCTTTGGATACAATAATAATACTGTATACGTTAATTTTGAATTATCTTATAGTAATATAAATATATATCTATCTATTATTTATTGAATATTATTTATTATTTATTATTTATTATTTATTATGATTCTATATGGAAATTTTCCATCTTCAAATAGGAATTGGACAAGTTATTGTTCGTTTGTATTATCAATATATACATATATATCTTATATATATTTGATATATACAGTAAAATATTATAAATATATTAATATATTGGGAAACATTACATGTATTGTGTATCAAAGATTTTGAAATTATAATATAAATTATTTTAATCGTTATAAACTTGATGAGAAAAAAAAAAAAAACGTAAATTTACGCGATTTGGTAAATGTTACAACATGGTTATAAAGAAAATTAATGGTTAAAAAAATTAAACGTTAATTATATCAATCTAAAATAGTCCGAATTATTGGGTAAAGATATTTGTATGTAATGCATATTTTTAATATTTGTACTTTAGTTATACAACCCAGTAACTTGTTGATTTACCAAAACATTAATTTAATTAACTTATAATTTTAATATATATATTAATATATATATATATATATATATAATATATATGTATGTATATAATTATAGACTCTACCCAAGATTATCCCTATTTTATACCTTTCATTACTTTTACCTACCTTAAGAGTTAAGACGCTTCACCGAATAATCACAATATGTATATCCGAATTTATTCTCTTACAATTGTAACGTTACCTTTTGATGGACAAGGAACATTTTATTCGACAGGTTTAGGAGCATGCGGTGAATATAATAAGTAAATTGTTAATATTTTATATACCAATACGCAGATCTATCTCCGAAAGTTAAAATCTTCATTTCTTCCTCGAATGGTGCACAATTTGGTAACGGAGGTAATTCAAACAATAATTCAACTTGTGTATAAAAGGATCAAAAAGGAGTGTAACACTAAGTAAAAGATAAGTATCCAACTTGCTCTTTTGGCAATGTGGATTTGTTCTCATGTAGTTGCCGATCTTGACAATGGCGGAGTACCTATTACTTGATCGTTTGAAAGAGACGAAGGAGATGAAGGAGTTATACTAAAGGAGATGACACTAAAGGAGATGACACTAAAGGAGATGATCATACTAAAGGAGATGATACTAAAAGGGATTATAACAAAGGGGATAATAATAAAGGAGGTAGTGATAAAGGGGATAAAGCCTCATAAAGGGGTAATATACATATACATATATGTATATATACATGTAGAAAAAGAGAATCCCGGTAAGAAGACAAATTCATCAAAGAAAGGATCGAAAGAAGACTTCATGTACTTGATTTTGTATTGTAATTGTAACTTTTTTTGTGACTTAATAATTGTAACTTTATTTGTGACTTAATATTGTAAACTTTTTTGTGATTTAATATTGTAACCTTTTTTTGTGATTTAATAATTTATTTTATTAATAAATAAATATATATATATATATTTATATTAATATCAACATAATAAATTCGGTATTAATTAAATTCACTGTTTTTTTTTTTAAACAAAGGATGATGATATATATTCACAAAGGAAATTTATAAATTCCGTTTCAGTTAAGTTAAAAAAAAAAAAATATATAGTTCATTAATAATAAAAAAAAAAATCTCGCATTGTACCCAAATTTTGATTTTGTATAAGAGATTTACCAAATAATTATTATAAAAATAATCATTTGTTTGCATTAAAAAATTTTTGATGTACTTAACACATTTTTTTTTTCTTTTAGTTATTTATAGTAACAAAAATAATAATATATATTTTTTTGTCGAGATAATCACATTACATTATATCCAAATATTACATTATAATCCAAAAAAAAATATTATATATTTTTTTTTTCTAAATATCCCAAATTTATCATTATCCGAAGTTTATCTAATCCCCTGATTCCGAGAATTTTTCAAATTTATTTAAATTATTTATATCCGAATTCCGAATATTTATAATTATTATAATTATTATATATCCCAAAAAAAAATTTTTTTTTTTTTTTCGCAAAATTATTATATCCGAATTCCCAAACTTAAAATCAAAAAAAATTTTCAGTTTTATCAACAATATTTTTTTTTTTTTTTCGCAAAATTATTATATCCGAAAATTTCCAAATTTTATTGTATTAAAATAAATTTATTATATTAAAGTTATTAAATATTACTTTTATATATAATTTATTTAATTACATTAATACAAATATATATATATATTGTACATATAATTTTTTTTAAATATTTATATTAAATACATTACATATTTTTTTCAATCAGATCATTATCTTTTTTTGTTCCAATCGCTCAGAAATTTATTTCAGGAAATTCGGTTATAAATTATTTTTATATTATTGATTGAAGGTTTTCTACTATATTCTTATCAACATTTTTAATGTATTAATGTCCGTTGAATGCTTAAACGGTAAATGTGTGGTGTAATGTGTGTTCAATTTTCGTTGATCGAATTACCGGACGTAAATTTCCGATTTGGTTTCACAAAATATTGTTACAAAATCGGATATACACTATTATATCATATGCAAGGTAATATACCAAAAAACTCAAATAACATAATGTAACACCTTTTCCCCTAAAAAAAAAAAAAAAAAAAAAAAAAAAAAAA